TCCCTCCTCCTCCTCACCTGGCTGCGGGCGCAGTGCTGCAGCAGCTCGGTGATCTGCACCTTGTCCTGCTGCAGCCTCCTCTTCATCAGCTTGGAGCCGTTGACGTTCAGCGCCTCCAGGATGTGAGACGTGTTGTAATCCACGAAGGGCCGGCTGTCGATCAGAACCACCCGATCCAACCCGCCCTCCAGCAGAACCACCAGGGCCTCTGGCCCGATGGGCCGCACCGTGCTGGGCCGGGGCATCGCGCTCCACTCCGGTCCGGCTCTTCTTCCTCGGTGGCGGTCCGGTCCGGTTCCAGAACACGAGAGGCTCAGAAGAACTTCATGGTTCTGGACAGGTTAGAGAGTCCTGATGAGGAGGAGCGGGTGAGGAAGATGAAGGCAGGATGATGTCACATCTGGGGGCGGGGCATCATCGTCATAATCTTCATCACGCCAACGCTTCCTGAAACAGAAACATCCAGACCATCAGAACCACAGCGTGTCCGACCCAATCCGCCCCGACTCAGCTCCCAGAATAGAATTTAAATACTTTGATCAGTTTATAATCATCTGGTTCTGGTTCTGCTCTGCATCCAGAACCAGAACCAGATGAGAAGCAGCATTCAGCTTCTATGCTCCACAGATCTGGAACAAACTTCCAGAAAACTGAAAAACAGCAGAAACGCCGAGTTCCTTTAATCCAGATTAAAACCACCTGGTTGGAGTTAATCCAAGTTAATCTGAGTTATGATCAACATATTTGATGTTTACTGATTTCCTTATTTAATCTTTATTTCACCAGGATAAAAAACACACTGCAGTCAAAAACTTATTTTAATGAATCTAAGATGATTTTATGTTTTTATGGTGTAAAACACTTTGCAGTGCCTTGTTGTTGTAACGTGATTTACTAATAAACATTTGGTTCCATGAAGAATGGATGAATATATTCTGATAAAGTAATCATCTGGATCCAGAACCGGACCACTGGGACATTTACAGAACGCCACTCAGTTTCAGGAACGGCTTAGATGGGTAATAACTAAAACATTTCTTCCTTCCATTAAATTTTTCTGAGCCTCAGAATCTACAGAGCCAAACTGAAGTTTGGACCCAAATGAGAGCTAAACACTTTAGAATCAGAACCACAAGCTGACATCTGACCCGGTTCAGGTCCAAACCTCACTGTAAACCAGATTCTGTAATAACTCATTTATTACAATAACTTCCCTTAGAGGAACAGATACAACGTTTGGCTTCATTGGTTCCTGAAATCAAAGATCTATAATCAGCAGAAAGAATCGGCTCTGAAGTGAATGAACATTAAATGAACCAAAACTTTTAGCTTTATTATCAGATGAAGTAAAACCGGAAGTGGCGCTCATATTAAAGCCAATTTAGAGAAAGTGAAAGCTGTAAGTTTTTCTGGAACACCACCCGAACCTCAACCAGAACCCCACCTGGGCTGAAGGGACCTGGTGTTTCTGTCGGAACCGGCCGATAATAGAACCACTTTAAGGTGGACCTGCGGTTTATTTATGTATTTTTAGTTTACCTGATGGCTTTAAGGTGGACCTGCGGTTTAACTCCATGCTCCAACAAAATCCGGATTATATTTGTTATATTTAAAATAAACTTCGTGAGCACTGATAACTTTAGGGTGGATATTGAATAAAGAAATAAAGCTTTAAGGTGGACCTGATGGATTCGGACCGACCTTTCCAGAACTTTTGGGTTCTGAACTATCGACCCCGACCATCGCTGACATTTTCCCGGACTGTCTGGCGGTTTAACACCGACTGACCATCGGAACCAGGCCCATGGAACCGCTCAGGAACCAGGACCCGAACTTTAGGCCCCGGTAACGGAACTCCAACCGCCGCCGAAGCTTCGGACCTCAACGAGAAATTTCGGTGAACTCACCGCCTGAAAAGTCTTCGTCACAGTCCGGCTAACAGCTTCGCCGTCCCGCTTGATGTTCCGGGGGAAGCTCGCGGAAATGTAGCGGAAATTAAAGGCCGAGAAAGGGAATAGAAGAGGCGGCAGAAACCGAGCAGAAAGCGGTTGAGTGAACCGAAGTCCTACCGCTGCCATAAGAGATGAGGTCACCGCGGTAAAAATAACACCAAGTCGTCATCCGGAGCAGAGTCCGAAGAACTCGGAGGACTCTTAAAGGGCCAGCGTCCCAATTACTGACGCTGCGCTATACAGTAGAGCAGCTTCAGCGTCCTGTTGCTTTAAGAACACATTCAGCATGGACTGTGGAACTCTAGAACTGCAAAAAATAAAATAAAGTAAAAATAATACACTAAAATAAAGTGCAAAAATACATTCAGTATGTAATGGTAACAATAAACAGAATACTGCTAAAATATCAAAGTAATACGTTTACTGGAAACAACAGAAAAATCAAATAGAAAAGTAAATGTTTGAAGTATGGCTAAACAAATATGTTCTAAAAATAAAATTAGATAATAGAACACAAATATTTATTTCCATTTAAATGGAATGAATATGTAAAACAATTTACTTACAAATTTAAAACAGAACTATCATAGTCTTATATGCATATGGTCTATGGAAGTAAAGGACACCCAAAAATAAATCTCTTCTAATTAACATTTATAATAAATAAATATAAAAATGTGAAAAATAAAAAGAAACCTGTAATAAATAAGTAATTATAACAACAAACATAACACCCCAAAATCAACATAAAAACAATGATTATAAACAATAAGATATTATAAGTAAATAATCATATACACTGAACACTGAACTACACATCAAATTAAAATAAGAATCAGTCAAGTGAAGAAATGCAGTAATAAATTAATATGGTCCAATAAAATAAGATTAACATTTTGAAGAAAGCATCAAATTACATTTAAATTTTAAAAATATTTTAAGATTTGTGATTAAATTAATAGTCCAATACAAACACAACTAAAAGTTACAAAAACATACCAATTTAAAACAGAGCAATCTAATGCATGAATATAAAAATTAAATTTTATTTAAAATATTCCATCAACTGTTTGTGAAATATATCATAATATACTTTTATATTGCACCATAATAATCTTATTTTATTTAAACCCATCTTTTCTTCACACAGATGTATTTATTTTCAGTTTTTTAATGGTACAGTTGTATGATGTGTGGTGTGACTGGATGCTTATAGCTCTGCTAATCCACCTCCTTTGCTTTTGCCACTCCTCTTTAAACCTGTCTGTCCGTCTGCCTAGAAAAATGCTGGAGTAGGGGACACGATCCATTATGATGGATGGAAGAGATGGTTTCAACTTCCTGCTTCTCTCTCTGCATCCATGAAACAAACATCTAAATTAAGAACCAATCAGAACTAATGCAGCAGCGCTGCTTTCCCTCAGGACACCTGAGCTCTGGAGGAGCAAACCCAGCAGGTGACGGAGGAAACCCTCCGAGTCTAGATGGTGTTCAGGATCAACCGGCCAGCTGAGGTTGATGCTAGTTGCAGAGAGTTGTCCTCTCTGGTTGTGTAACAGGAAGTCAGCTGAGCCCCATGCTGCTCCAGAGGGAGCAGCGACGGGACAAAGGAACGCTGCACATAGGAAACCTTCTCATTCCGGAGCAATTAGCATGCATGGATAACTCCCTGAGAAAATCTGATACAGAGATTGTTGGAAAAAAAAAATCAGAGGAAGAGATGGTCAACTCATCAGACCCAGTTCTGGTTCAGATAAACCCAAACCACAGAGAACTGCTGTTCCACATTAAGAGGAGTCAGCTGAGGAGGTCCATTAGTCAGAACGTCTCCCTGATTCTGACAAGATTCTGGGAAAACTAAAAGCAGAATTTAACCTGACTATCACCTGTTAATTTCTAACATGCAGAATTCCTCCAGGCATTTCCAGTTCAGGAAAACTTTGTTCAGGTCTTCAAACGGTTTCCATGGGAACATAAAATAATAATAAAATTAAAGAAATGGAGAATAAAATGAACATAAATATGATTATGTTACAGAACCGTGCAGAATCAGTCTGTTCTTTGCTGACCTTAGTTTGGTGTTGTGCCCTCTGCGTCCGGCAGGGGGCAGTGCGCTACAGGTTGCAGCGAGCGATCAACAGGAGGAGAAGAAGAAGAAGAAGAAGAAGAAGAAGAAGAAGAAGAAGAAGAAGAAGAGCGACAGGAAGCGAAGATGTAAACAAATCAGAAACTTCCCTGATCTGGATCAAACGGAACCATCTTCCATCCTTAGCTGGATCAATTGGGTTCGACACTAAAAGCAATTCCTGAACTTGGTCAGCCGAACCGGCTGCTGTTCTGCTGCTCGGGCTCGGTTCCGTTTCCGATCCCGGGTCTTTGTTTCGCTTTGGATCGAAATGGAAGATAACAAGGTAATGAATCACTCTGCCGAACCGGGCTCGTCCAAAATCAACTGGATTAGACCACCGAACCCGGTTAGAGTATAAAGGTTCGGTTCTGATTGGTCAAGATTCTGTCTCCAAATTGGTTCTGCTGGATCAGAATCGATCTCATGTAATGTTAACATAGCTAGTGGTTCCCCGCTTCGGGTCGGACAGAGGCTGGGCTTTGGTTCTGGAAGGTTCTGCAGGTCCATTAGTAGGTAATAAGGAGTGTGCGCATGCTCAGTGCGGTTCAGGTGCCCTGCCAGCATACGTAGGTGGGGCCCCATATGGGGAAAAGGAGGGCAGACAATTTCCCCATATGCCCTCCTTTTCCTCATATGGGCCCCACCTAGGTATGCTGGCTGGTTCTGTTTGGTTCTTCTGGAGGTCTGGAGTCGGTTCTGAACTCTTGAGTATTTTTTTTTTCTTTGGGTCAGCAGTTCTGAGACAGAGTTCTTTTGGACCGCAAAGCACCTGGAAGGGTGTGTATACTTTTTACTGTTCTGTAACATGAGTCAGGTTTTATTCTGAAAATCAAAATAAGAACCGGAAGTAAAGCAAATTCCAAAGGTCCAACAGGTGAAAGCCATTAAAGTTCTGGTTCTGTATCTTATACTGGATTTAGCTCCAGAACCACAGACCCATTACTGAACCTGTCCTCTGGTTCTGAACTCTACCCCCCAGATGGTGGCTGGGAAAGTGAAGAAGCCCGGGAAACGCGGCCGGAAGCCGGCTAAGATCGACCTGAAGGCCAAGCTGGAGCGGAGCCGGCAGAGTGCCAGGGAGTGCCGGGCCCGGAAGAAGCTGCGCTACCAGTACCTGGAAGAACTGGTTTCCAGTAAGGAGAGGGCCATCTGCGCGCTGCGGGAGGAGCTGGAGATGGTGAGCTGCTGCAGGACACTTCCGGTTCTGCTAGGGTCAGAACCGGAAGAGCTTCGCTTGAGAGATGCTGCTTCCTGTTCAGGTTCTACTCACTGAAACTGGGCCGATCAGAACCAAGACATTAGGTTCTGACTGGTTTTGATTAAATCTGGGTCCGTCCATCCATCCATCACCTAAAACACAAAGTTTCCCAGTGAATTCAGCCATTTGAATTGGACTCATTTAATTAGAACCAGTTCGTTATCAGAACCATGTTGCTGTGGTTCTGGTGCGGCTCGGTCTCACCTGCCTCTCTCCCTGCAGTACAAGCAGTGGTGCTCGGCCATGGATCAGGGCAAGATCCCGTCGGAGATCAAAGCTCTGCTGACCGGAGACGAGCAGAAGATTCCTCAGAGCAGCGCCGGCACCAAGACGGCCAAGAACGGCAAGAACAGCAGCGCCGGTGCCGCCCAGAGCTAGACCGCCGCCCAGCGCCGCCGCCATGTCAGCTACAGACTCTGTGACCCCAAACAACCCGGACACCGCCCGGATAAAACCCGAATACCGGGGTCCGCTCCATCTGCTCTGATCGCTCCTCACGTTGCTGAGGTCGGCCATCTTGTCTTCTCCCCGCTTTCAGCCTCCCACCTGTTCAGGCGACACTCGGAGGTTACCTGGCTGTTTCCAGGTCACATGATCCACTCGGCTTTCAGCTCCTGAGAAAAAGACGTTAAAGTTTGATCGTCTCGCTAAACATTTCTGTTCTGGATCGGTTGTTTCTGGATCTGACTAATCCAGTCTTGGATCCGTTTTTTGCTTCGTTTTCAGGTGATTCTGTCTAAATCAGCAGATCCAGAACCCGTTTCCCGAGGAATCCCAGATTTTCTGTTCTGGTTCTGGTTGATGTAATCCTTCCTGAATGTTGTGCACTTTCTTTATTGTAGCAGAAGCACTTTGTGAGTTCTGAAGAACCTTTGTAGCTTTTACAGAACTTCAGTTTGTCAAAGCAAATAAACCAGAATCATGATTCTGATGAAAATTCTCGGCTTCCTTTATTTCATTTTTACATCATTTACCAGAACCGGGTTCCTTCTGATTCTGGTTCCGGTTCTGAGTGGTAACAGCTAAAGACAGCCTACAGCGCCACCTACCGGCCACACTACATCCAATTAACTCTTCGGCTTCGGTCCAGTTGAGGTAATCAGAACCAGCTTCACGGTTCTGCTAACGTCTCTTGAAGCAACACATGACGTCAGCACTACGTTAGTCTTTACTAACGTTAGCTTCTAGCTCACAAATCGCACAAGTAGCTGTTGATGTTCATTGGCTGCGCTCAGGAAGCAACATGAAAACATGAGACGTGACGTAGAAAACATGGCTGCCAGGAGCGCGGACCAATCAGAAAGAAGCCCTTTAAACCAACAAACAATCTGGGAGTCTCAGTGTTCAGTCACACAGGAAGACATTAACACAACTAATTTGGTTTATTTGGCCTCTCAAAGAAAAAATGTGGCTGCTTGTTTTTCAAAGTCTAGTCTTCAAGTTATTCATGCATTTATAAATGTAAGGGTTCTAACTTCAATGTTTAATTAGATATTTAGCTTACAAGCTAAATATTTAGCTTTCAAGTATTTAGAGAACAAATGTGGGTGTTTAGCTTGCAAAGTAAATATTTAGGTTGTAACTCAATATTTGGTTAGCAAAATAAACATTTAATCTGGATAGTACCTCCAAATCAAATATTTATTTCAAATTAAATATAACTAAACATCGGATAGTAATTTTATTAGATAAATATTCAGTTACAACCGCAATATTTAACTAGCAAGTATTTGGATAGCAAGCTAAATATTTAGCTTGATATCTAAATGTTTAGTTGCACATTGTCTTCTATAACAGGCTAAATAAACCAAATTATTGCTGGTAATATTTTACTGTGTAACTTGACAAATGGCGCCCTATAACCGTGGCGTTGGCTCAGTTGCTCAAACGAAAGTGTTGGGTGGGTTGGTATTGGTGGGCCAGGCTACCTTCTTCTTCTTCGCCTCCCGGTCAAACGCATCGTACACCGAGTCCTTGGTGATGGTCTTAGCTTGGACTGGGATTTCCACCACCCCAACGTAGTTTTTCTTGGCCATCCGGGAGCTGGCAGTGATGGTGTAAGCGTTGCTGCGGTAGCACTTCATGGATGACATACAGAAGGTCTCCCGCATGCCGCGCCTGAAGTTGGCATTGTAGACGGAGTACAGGGTGGGTTTGGAGGCCGTGGAGCTAAAGCAGACCCAAGCGATGGTTGTGAAGAACAGCAGCTCCTTCCTGCTGGGCGTGTCGACCTCCTCAGGGTGCCACAGCTGGGCCACGTAGAAGGGCGTCCAGGTGAGGAAGAAAACTGAGTTCAGCATGAGGAACATCTTGATGGTCTTAACTTTAGTCCGCGGGACGATGTTCATGGTCCGACGCACCGTATGGCCGTCAGCGCCGATCCTCCAGATGTAGCGAACCACTCGCTGGTAGAAGGAAATGATGAGTCCAACTGGGACCAGAAAGCCAACTAGAAGGTGAAATGCAGCGTAGGTGATACTGCCCCAACTGCTTGGGAGGAAAAAGTCACAATGACTGTCTGCAGAGCCATAAAAGAAGAAACAGGGGGCAATAAAGGCTGCATCAAACAACCATGAGGCCAGAATCATCTTCTTGGCCTTTTCTCTGGACACCTTGAAGCTGAGCGGATAGACAATGGTGTAGAAGCGGTCCACAGAGATGGACAGCAGCACATAAACCTGAACACCAGGGCACAGGTGCTGCAGGTAACGAACAACCTTGCAGGCAGCAGCGCTCAGTGGCCATTGTCCTGCAGCCACCTGCAGAAGGACAAACGGAGCCCAGCCCAGGCTCATGAGCAGGTCTGCACACGCCATGGACACCACAAAGTAGTTGGTAGTGGACTGAGTCCGCCTGCTCCTGTGGATGACCAGGCAAACAAGGGCATTTCCCAGGATGGAGACCAGCCAGAGGAAGCCGAACACCAGGCCCAGGATGGCGACCTCCCCTGAGGACAGGTCGCCGGAGGTGGCGGTGGCGTTGGGCTGCCTGGGGGTCGAGCCCTCGAGGCTGTAGAGTGCAGTGGTGGGCAAGGCAGCCAGCACAGTGAAGTTCTCTTTCTTGGAGAAGTTAAATGACATCTGATTCTTGAAGAACGGGGAGTAGGAGGAGGGATTCACACCAACTCTGTTTGTGGACTGAGCATACACCATTTCTATATCGCAGCGTCACAGATGAGCTGTGGAGACAGAAACAGACAGTCACCAGACAGACAGAGCTGAGAGAACAACCTTCTGAATGTATTTATAAAGCAGGTCCGGTACCATCGGAGGTACTGGACCTGCTGAAGTAACCAAGAACCTAAACATGAACCGTTAGTAAAACTCAGAATTGGCTCTAGATTGGATGACCAGTCAGTAACCAAACAAGTTAACAGACTGGCCAGTGGTTAGATGTTGGTAAGGGTAACGGGTTGCTAAGTAGAAGAGGAAGTTGTTGGGTGAGTTTCGTCTCCCTTTCAATTTATTCTGAAGTTCAGAGGACAGTTCAACCATTATCTAGCTTGTGATAGGCAGTGGTGCTTTTGCTATGCGTATTAACCATGATGGTGAACTAAGGGTTCACCATCCTGAAACCTTAGTTCACCCTGGACTTATTAGCAGTCCATTTGCTAGACAGTCCAGTTCAGTTGGGAAGGTGTGAATATGTAATTGAACAAACAGACTGAACTCTGGTCTACAGGGTGGTTTATCAGCTGGTTGCTAGATTTGTTGACTGACTGTTGAGTTGATGGTTCATAGGTTAAAAATAGGAGTGAACCTGAAACTGTTTAAATGATACCAAAACGTTTTCAGACTCAACTAACACTGTAGCACAGGGATCCTCAGATCCAGGCCTCCAGGCCAGGTGTCCGCAGGTTTAAATGTCTCTGCTTCAGCACACCTGAGTCAAATAATCAGGTCATTAGCAAAACCCAGAAGAACTGGACTGAGGAGGTGATTCAACCATTTGATTGAGGTGTGTTGTACCAGAGACTATTATTTAAAGGTTGCAGGACCCCTGCTGTAGCACATCAGCATATTTCTGTTTAAGAGAACTGATCACATATTGGGATTTTCTTGGGTCTGTGGGTGGTTGTGTAGATGAGCTGAGTGGTAGAACAATTGGTTCAATGGTTAGCTAGGTTAGGTGGTCATATGTTTGTTTGATTGGTCAGAAGATTTTAATGTAATGCTAGATGTTGATCCAATTACTAGATCAGAGATTGGTTGGTTGGTAATGATGCCCAGGGAGTTAGCTACTTGGTTGACTGGTTGGTTGGTTGGTCAAAAGATCTTAATGTAATACTAGTTAGAAGTTTGGTTCCTTGGCCAGTTTAGTTGGTAAATATGACTGGGTTGTAATTTGCAGGGTTAGTAAGGTTTCCCCCTGTCGGTCGGTGAACAGACCAAGAGTAGATTGGGGAGGAGTTGGTAGTTAGGTTGACTTACTGACTGCTGAATGGTTTGGTTGATGTTTTTTTATCCTTTTGGGTAGACTGATTGACAGGTTGGTGTTTTAACTAGGTGAATACTCAGAAAGATAAAAACTGAGGGGCCATGTTGGTTTTACTAGCTTGATCCATAAGTAGGCTGGAGCAGGATGCGTTCCTCTATTAGTCGGTGGTTGAGTTAATCAGATCACTGGTTAGTAGTGTTGGTACCAACCTGAAACACCTCCTCCTCTTAATCCCCCAGTCACAGATTTCATCGCTCCTGATTTCCAGTCCCTCACTGGGACCGGTTAGGACTCTGCAGGGACCCGCGGCTCCTCTGGGGGAACCCATTAGCGCTGGGAGGGACCCATGAGAGAAAACTGTGTTTACAGACGCTGACCTGTTGGCACGGCTGGATTTACTCGTTAGCAACCTGTTAGAGCTAACCAAACGGGTCGGAACCGGAGATCCAAACGCTGATCCGGATCATCTTCTTGTTAGGAAACACTTTTCTGGACGGATTCCCTCTGAGCTTAAAGCTCTTGAATTAAATCGTGGTTAAGATTTTCTAGCTAAAGAAATCCGGGATCTGCCTGAGATCCAGAGGAAATATGCACAAACACACAGTCCTTTAAAATACACAAACCAATCAAATGAGAATCGATTCAGAGCCGAATGACAGAGTTCTGATCACAGCAGCAAAACAAAATCAATAAATCTTATTGATTTTCTCCAAAGTGAAAGGAAAAAATTCAGACTCATAAAAATATGTTTTAAACTCTTTAAAAATAAGAAAATGAAATCATAAATTGAGATCAGGACAGAAATGAGATTGTTTGGTCCAGTTAATATTCTGATCCGATTCTGACTGAGACCCAGACGCTCCAGAATCTGGATCCATCATGAACGGAACCAGCAGACCTTCCTCCTAAACTCAGCCTCCATCTTCATCACCGCCTTGACGTCCAACCTGAACCTCATGGAAAAATACTGGCGCCACCGTCACAACCGCACATGTTTCTAAACCCAAACCATTAAAACCGAACCGAACCGAATCTTACATGTTCGGCATCACTGGAGCTTCCTGTCGTCGTTCTTCCTCCTGGATCTCCGGATCTTCATCCTCTTCGCACGTAAACAAACCGTGTCGCAGCGTCAGCGAGGCGGCCGAACATCTGCTGCTGCTAGACTGAACCGAACCAGCGGTCCGGCGGGTTCCGAATCCGCTACAGAATCCGGACCAGCGGGAAGAAGAGGAGCTTCATCCCGTGGTTTTCAGCAGCAGGAGGAAGAAGAAGCGGCAGACATCATGGCTGTCCGTCTCCAGGATGAAGCTGATGATAAAGAGGAGGTGCAGCAGGGCGGGCCGGGCGCTTTCTGGGGCCCAGGGCGGGAAAACAAGGGGCCCCCGAGGAAAAAACAAGAATAAAGGATAAGAAAAATGTTCCGTTCATTTATTAATCAGATTTAATAAAAGTCATAAAAGAAAAGAAAGTAACAAAAGAAGGCACACCTTTAAGGGACCAGATAAAACAAGTGAAGAACACCTCCACTAGGACCCAGAAATGGTTCTGCTTTTCTTTCTCTAGTTATCATGATTTCTTGTCATGTAATTGTTAATAATGTACTATTTTAATTTTGTTAATTTTTATGGAACAACTGCTAAATGGACTATAATCGAAAACTAGCTTCCTTTAGCTAACTCAGGTTAACTTAAATTATGTTTATTGTTGAGCACTGTCCCTTTAAAAATACATTTGAAATGTGAAATGGTTCCAGTTAGAACTGAATGAGTTCGTGTTCATAGTTCTTTAACACGTAAAACAACATCCAAGGTTTTGTTGAAAGTCTTTGAGTCAGCAATAATCTGAAGATAAAGATAAATAATCTGTTATTTCCACAATATTCAACAATCCGGACCTCAATAACAGACTGGTCCAGATGGAGGTTCTGGTTCCGAGCCCAACCCTAGAACCAGAACCCAAGCAGAAGAAACTGATGCTTCTGACCTGAGTGAATGAAGTCATTCTTCGACTCTGGGCCAGATGGGCTAAACGGACCAATCACCGCGAAGAACCCGGATCTCCGTCAATAATGCGGGATCCAGGCCAGCAGGGGGAGCTGTTCCGAACCTTAGAACCTGGCCGGTTCATGGAGATGAAACCGAGATCCGGTTAGGAGAAGAACCGGAACAGAGGCGTTAGAGGGGCCCAGCAGGAGAGGAAGAGCTTCATCAGCATCATCTTCATCAGGATTAAAGATGCTCTCATGAAGACAGATGCATCACTCCTGGTGATGAAGAGGTGTGGCCTCATCTTTATCTTTTCTGGGCTTTGATTGGTTGACCTCATCTAGAAACTGGAACCTGACCTGTTCTACAGCAGCAGTTGTAGTATCAGGCTATCCGTGGATAGGAACCTTTGTGCTGTATTGTGTTTGGGGGCGGGGGACAGAATAAAGGAGAGCGCCTGCTAAGATGGAGTTGTCTCACGCGTGCTTCTGTGTAGCCTCAAGATTTTATTGAATATACATATCGGAGAACAGAACAGCAGTTACCATGGTAACAGGCAGGAAGTGACATGGACCTCCGGCTGGATCTCGGTGAAATTCTCCAGACTGAGGCAGAACTTCATGAACAGGTTCAGATCCGGTTCAGCCCACAGCCCATAGAGGGCGCTGTTCCTGGACCTGCAACCTCTATGTGCCTCTATAAAAGGAGACGACCGCCTGCTCTGATTGGCTGTGGTATCAGCTTGTTACCATGACGACCGCAGCACCGGCCGGTTGCCATGGGAAACCAGCAGCGGAGTGGAGAGGAGCAGAACAAAGGCTCCCTGAACGAACAGATCAGAACCAGGATGAGAAAAAGGAACTAAAACCTCCAGAACGTTCTGACAGCGAAGGAAAAAATCTAATCTGGTTCATCTTCCAGAAACATGTTTCAGAGCACGGCATAGTAGAAACTAAATGAAACTGGTGATCAGAACCGATTGGACCTGTGGGCAGAGCGGCACCGAGAGGACCAATCAGAGTGACGAATTAACAGAAACACGTGAATATGTGAAAGAATCATCATCAAAAGCAGGTGTAAACATTTCATCCCGACAGGCTGGCAGCACGTCGGCGCCCCCTGCTGGACGCCAGAGACACATTCAATCGCAGAGAACAGCCAGTCCTTCAGGGGGCGCTGTTGTCCCGGACTGCCTTCAGCCATCCAGAACCGAATGTTACAGGAGGCTGGTTCTGATCGGTCGGAGGACTCGGAACCACATACAAATATTTGTTAGAGGGTACGTTTGTGGAGCTAAATTTTTAGTTTATGTTGCTTTGGCTTTGAAGATATTAATAAAAGTTTAAAGGTCATTTCGAGTTTGCAAAAGGGGGCAGGGGCTGGTTGACCTTTTGACCTTTAATTAATATCTCAAAAGTAAAGCAGTATAAACCAAACCGAGTTGATTGACACAAATTCTACCTGATTTGAAGTGTGGGGGGGGAGGGGGTCATGACCTTTCATGACCTCTAGAAGCATTTCTTAGCATCTTTAAAATGATGTGAGCAGCACAAAGGAAACATTTTGCTGCACAAATGTTTGACATCTATTTTATCTGATTTGAAGAAGGTGGGTGGCCAATTTCACTCAGGTCTTAGTTCTGCTTTCACTTTATTTCTGTATTAAACGGAACCAAGAAAGTAACGAGGATTACTGATGAAAAAAGAACCGGTTTAGAACTAAACGTTCATTAAAGCAAAGAAAGCCGATTAGACATTGAACTGGGTTTATTCTAATATTTTTCTGAACAATTAAAGCTACAAACCTTCACCAAAATGATCCAAATTATTTCCCAAACATCCAGAGGAAGGTTATCTGATCCAGGGTTCTTGGCGATTTGTTCAGCTGAATTATTTGTGTCAATAAGTGCTTTTGACTTTAACAGAACCGTCATGTAAACTGGGTTTACTGTTTAAAACCTGTGACTCTGGGAAACAGTCGGGATTAGATCCGGAAAAATGAAATAAAAGCGAGCAGATCTGGTCCAGGAACTAATCTGTAAAAGCTTAGCGTGTTGCTGGAGAGCTGATCAGGACTGCGCAGTTCGTTAGTCAAAAACTAACAGCAACAATTTGGGTCATTTAACTTGTCAGAGCAAAAATAAATAAATAAATAAAATACATAACATAAATACAGTTTGAGTCATATTTTTGCTACTTTATTTATATATTCATGAGTATCACAGTTACAAAGCTAAATATTTAATCTGACACAAATTTTGCCCCTGCTAAATATTTAGCCAATATGCTAATTCACCGGCAGATAAACGGAAGTGGACTGCCAAAATAAACTACAATTTATAAATTGTACTCTTCTAATCGATTTATGTTACCTCTTTATGGTCGTTTCTTCTCCTGAGCATGTCAAACAAGGTTGAGTCGTTTTAAAGTCAACACAGCAACAGCGACGCATCAGCATTTCTATCTCACCAGCAGTTTATACTGAAGTACTTTTATTTTGATAGTCCACTTCCGATATCGGCAAAGAAATTAGCATATTAGCTAAATATTTAGTTCTGAACTAGCGAAGTTTGTAAACTAGCTATTGAGCTAGCGCTAAGCTAAATAAACAAGATATTTACCCAGCTGTCAACTAACGATGCTAAATACTCAGAGCTAAATATTATAACTGGTAGTTATCTAAATATTTAGCTCCAATTTCTATATTTAGCTTGAAACAGTGACATTTGTAAATGAATGAATAATGATCAAAATGTTTATTTTTGTCTTGTCAGGCTAAATACCCAAATTTTTGCTGTTTAATTTCAGGTTTTTGCCTTCATAAATATACAGAACATATGCTGATCATCATCAGAAAGGAGGAGGATATGCAAACATATCACTTATCAGCTGGAGCTTTATTAAACCTGAACCAGACTGCTGCTGTTTCTGTGTCTGTATTTAGCACGTTTGGGGTCTGCTGTTACTGTGACAATGAAACACTGTCAACATATTATTTAGAACTTTAAAAATAAAATAGAAACAATAAAAACTAGATGAGTAATATCCTCCAGTAATGCCAACTCTGAGCTGCAGGATCAGCTAATAATCCCATCAGGTTATGGCAGCATAATGCTGCGATGCAGATTATACTGATGTGATGTGTCTGACAGTATTTAAAGGAAAACACCACGACTCAAACGTTGTTCCGTCTCATTTTTGAACAAGCATTCAGCTAAAGATCCGGCCCTTGGTGTGCAACGGGAGGTTCTGCTGGAAGTTCTGGCCCGGCTCTGTGTTTTGGAGAAATGGAGTCATAAACGTGATGGTGGGTTCTGCGTCCAACAGAGCAGTTCTGATGTATGGTTCCCCAGCAGGTCGGGTCGGGGTACCCGTCAGAGTCCGACAGTATTTACAGAGCGTATGTACACGGCGCCGCGGACCGGATCAGCCTCTCAGCCCTCCGTCCAGGGTCAGAGTCCCAAACCTGCAGGAGAACCAGAACTCAGGTTAACCCGGCCCACACATGGATCAGAACCGACTCAGAACTTGAGCACAGGGTGGCATTCAGAGATCCAGTCCTGATCTGGTTGTGACCCAAACAGAACCAGTAACGCTGGGGAAAGCGGACCTCTCCAGGAAGTGGTTGTTCTCCGCCAGCTCCTTGACGACTCCCTCCATCTCCTCCTTCAGCTTCTTCATCCTGAGGAAGAGGAACAGCAGCAGGTTACCAGACCGACCCAGTTCTGGAGCGGGTCGGCGGTCTGACGGGCTTACCCCAGCGTCATCTCCACCAGCGTGTTGGGGCTGAGGTACGGCTGGGCCTTCATCACGTTCGGAACCAGAACCTTCTGGGGAAACTGTTCCTGCAGCTGCAACCAACACAGGCTCAGCTGGTTACCATGGCAACCAGAGGGAGAGGAGGCGTCTCAGCCTCAGGTTACCAAGGCAACCAGAGGACGAGGATGCGGACGGTTCCGGGTCAGGGTTCACCTTGACGGCCCGGTCCAGCAGCACGGTCACCTCCTTCTCCACGCCGATCAGCTGACCGGACAAACCGAGCAACTGCTTCCGAACATGGTGGACCTTCCTGCAGGCAGAGGGAGAACCGGGTCACTGGACTGGAACCAGGACACTGTGCCGGAACCAGGACCAGGGGACTGGACCGTACCTCATCCACTCCTCGCTCTTGGATATGAAGAGTCGGTACTTCATGGCACACTCGTCGGTGAACAGAGAGCGAGCTTTGCCAGCATGGATCACCAACTTCTGCCTGTTGGAGGAACCGGGCCAGAACCAGAACCAGTCAGAACCAGACCCATTCATCAGATTAAATACAGGTCAAATTAATATTTTATGCTCTGTCAGATTTCTATGGTTGTTCTGTAAAACCAGGCCGATTCGGGCTGGGCCAGAACAGAACCAGAGATGTTTCCTGGTTCCTTCATGGTTCATTACTTACTTATCAAACTTGTGGATCTGCTCCTCATTGTATGGAAGACCTGAAATCACAGAGGAGGTCGGGGGTCAGCCGGTGACCTCGGGGGTCAGCCGGTGACCTCGGGGGTCAGCCGGTGACCTCCGGGTTCAGCCGGTGACCTCGGGGGTCAGCCGGTGACCTCCAGGTTGTCCTGTCCTGCTGTGGAGTGAAGTGGGTCTTACGTCGTTCTGCTTTGTCCTTCTTGAATTGCTGGTAGATGGCAGTGATGGCGTCCAGCAGGACCTTGATTTTCTCCACACTGCAGACAGAAACATAACGGCGTCATTAAAAACCCTAAACCTCCCACCCCCTCCCTTCTGCCCCCCCCCCCACATCACTCATAACAC